CAGAAGGTTGAAGAATATGAGTTGTATTTGAAGGGAGTACATATAATAAAATTCTATTATCTCTGCAATAATTAATACTAATAAATCAATGTGACTAGAATGTCTATCAAGCATAAGTAAAACTAGTCTAAAAGGTGAAATTGATTTATTAAAATATTCAATGTACATTCTAAAAATATTTTCTTGCATATAACCTGTATTAGTAAACCCTGCAACAGTGCCAGGTAGGACAGATGAACCAGATAACAATCCATCAAGAACATTAACTCCCTTGTAAATAAGCAATAGTAGGATATAGGTTCATGTAGCTGAAAATGTAGAGCATATAGAGATATGTTCTTTCAAATTTTCATCTGCAGTTTTATGAACTTGTTGGGTATTTTTCTTGGCCAGAACTTTTTGTAATCAAGCAGAAATATTAAATCCTGTCTTATCCATATTCCAGATGCGATCTGGAGTTAAAGAATAATCATTATAAAGTTTTTTAAGTTTTTTGAAGTGGTCTTTAAAAACAACTGGGTTAGCTTTACTTGCATGTACCTGGGAGAGTTCTTGAGATGTATGAAATGAAAGTTCTGGATAATCTTTCATAAATCTTTTCCACCACTTATAACTCGGGGCACTATTAAATAGATGTTTTCGATCCCGGGTACTAAGAATTTGCATAATCGTTGTATTGATGGCCTCTTTGGTAAGTCCAAACCCAAGTTGCTACATGTTTAAACAGTAACCAACTATCTCATTCTCTTCATAAACTGTAAGTATAGTAGGAGGACCACAACAATTTGGAATACCATTTTGTATTGCATCATGTAAGGTTCGATCAGCAAGACCAAACTCAAGAGCAACTTTATAAATACTTAAAGGTGGTGTTGAGCTAGTTTTTTGAGCTTCAAGAAATTCAAGTGCAGCATGAATAAAGGCCTGATGAGGAGTTTCTTTATTTGCTAAAGTGTTTTAATATAAATTTTGTGTTTCTTGATGTTGAGCTTTTACTAACAACATTTTTTTTTTTTGTTATAGCATTAAAAAAAAAATTAACTACAACACAATAAAATAAGAGTAAATGTATATTAAATAAATTAGAAATAGCACTAAAAATTTGAAATTAAAGAAATTTGAGCCAATCAAATCATCTATTAAATAGTTAATTGATTTAAAATTGATGCAATAAATATGTAAAATAATAAAGTTTAATCGAGTATATTATATGCTAAGGCTATTTATTATGAAATCACATAAATTGTTCTAAAAAATGCTGTGGTAACAAAAAAGAAAGAGAATTTGCATAAATAGGAAATAGAGTAATCTACCTTAGCTGCCTCAACAAAATTGTAATGACAGATTCTTAATTTTGATTAGCTAAAAGCGATGATCAAAAAATTAGACCGTAATAACTCATAATTTTACTAATGAAATCACAGCCACCTATTAAGTAAAAATTGTTCTTGGGCTAATTTTACTATAATGCAGACTTATTTTTTAAAAATTTATATTTTTGTAAAGAAAAATTAAAAAGTTAATTCTGGCCAGAAATTAGTAAACAATTATGTAATGCGGGCCAAAATTTCAAAGATCCTTGGCCGTTAGCCAATCAAATTCAAGGATTTGTTGTGACAATGTTGTTGCGGTAGCTATAGTTTTTATCAAAAAAGCCAAACTTTTTTTAAACTTTGAGTAAAGATATCTCAACACCCACCAAGCCAAATTCAATGAACTTTTTTTTTTTGAATTCTACAGATTCGTAGAATTTAAATAAAAAAAAGTTTATAAAATTTGACTTGGTAAGTGTCGAGATTACTTTACTCAAAGATTTAAAAAATTCAAAACATCTATCAAAAAGAAGAGTTGCACCAAATTTTTTTATTGAAAATGTTTTAGAGATTTTGCCATTTTGGTTTCACTGAGTTTTGGAGGTTTTATCAGGTTTTAGAAATTTCGCTCATTTTGGAAATTTTGGAAATTTCGAATTTATTTCGCCTTTGGGAGAATTTTGGTTTTGCTTTTCGGATTTTGGAAATGGATTTGCTTACAACACTAGTTTATTCTATAATTTTCTTGTATTACAGGGTTAATAAGCCATATTGGCTATAGGGTGTTGGAATTGGATCTGCTATTAGTTAAGAACTATTGTAATGGGTTATTAGTCAATAGTTAGTAACTACTAGTGAAAGTAAAGAACTAACGGTAAGGGTTAATAACTACCAAAAATAGTATCGAACTATCAAAGTGAAGAAAAAGTATCGTTTTGGAGAATAAGTCATATTATTTGTACAATCAACTTATTGCGGTTTTTGAAATAGTTGACACTAAAATATTTTGTATATTCACTATATACTGATATAAAATCATCTAACTCTAAAAAAATTTTTTGTATACTTTAAATATATTAGTTTTATTTAAAATATACAAAAAATTTTTTAGGGTTAGATAATTCTATATTAGTATACAGTAAGTATACAAAATATTTTGGTATCAACCATTTCAAAAATCGTGATAGTAAAAATCGAATCTTGTATTATACATTACACGCATTATGCAGAATCCCGCATGAGATCCCATCACTGTTTACACATTGTTTTCTCGTAATCAGTGTTTGAAATTTCAGATCTAAACACTGTTCCTATGAGAATAGTTCTCACTTAATTGATAATCTGTTTTTGAATGAGGCAATCATTTATAACTATATATAGTAAATTGTGATGCATTTTACTATAAGTTTTACTATAGCCAAAAATGCCATTTCACGTAAACAATAGTCTGTTTACATTAGTCAGCAAATCGTTTTTTTGCAATATCTTGGCATCTAATAATCAGATTTTAATGATCTTACTATAATTAGAATCAGAAAATGATGCTCTACAAGTTTACTTAAAAATTGAAAATATATTTACTTAATAGAAAATGACTTTACTTTGTCGTGAAGTGGCATTTGTGGCTTAGCAATTTTATATAGTAAATCATATAGATCTGCACATCACAATTTACTATGTGTGGTTGTCTCATTCGGAAATGGATTATCAATTAATGATTATAAAAAAAAAAAAAACCAATACCAATTTGATTTTGAAGTGCATATATGTATTTCAAAATTTACTTTAGATTAATATAACTGTCTTTATATTGGAATTTTTTTATGATTTTTGAATATAATATATTTAGCATTTAACTTTGTGTATTAATATTATATAGATTTCTATTATATACTTATGAGAACACGATTATTATTTTACTGTTCTCAAAAAATTTTTAATAGTGAACAGTACAAAATTTGTACTGTACGCAAATTTATAATTATGTTCTCATAAGAACTCTGAGAACACAAATTTCAAACACTGCTCATAATATAACCACCCTAGGGCCAAATTAAAATTTAAAATCAGGTGTAACATAAAATTAAACTAGAAATACCCAAACCCTAACCCTAACTCTGGTAGCGAAATTTTTAGGGTGGTGATGCTAGGGTCATACCCATAATACTATTATTTAAAGCCTCTTGCTAATAACAATTCGATCCTGATAAAAGAAATAAACCAAATTTACTACAGTTTCCTTATTGGAAACTAAACTCATGCATACCTCTGTTGTTAGTGGATCTACAGCACAATCGCACTTTGGTAGTTACACCGGTAGACTTGATTAGACCAATTGGGCGGTCTTTTCTAATCACGTTACTAAGATCATGCAAAGTATATATATGATGTTAATTTCACCAGCAGTAATAGTAATTACAATTTTTTTGTGATTAATCGCATATCGCACACGTACGTACTGTACGTACTGACTCAATGATTCTTAAAATTTTGATATTGGGCGCCGGTTACGGAACTCGACTTCAGCGAGACATTCTCCAAGATATTAGTCAAAAATATTCACATCTTCTTGGAATTCCAAAAGCCTTATTACCAGTAGGAGGTCAAGATGCATTAATTACACATTGGCTTCAAATATTTAAAACCGCTAATATTGACATTGCATCCTCGGTTTATGTGGTAACCAATAACCCCTCATACCAAAGTTTTATATCATGGGCTGATAAAAATGGAATACCGAGATCGAATATTGTAAATGATAAAAGTACATGTAACGAAAATCGGTTAGGTGCTGTAGCTGATATATTATTTGGATTAAATTATTTTAAACTATTTAATAACGATTTGCTTATAGTTGGTGGAGACACATTGTTCCTAAGAGATTTTAACTTTAATAAATTATTAGACCAATTTTCGAC